TATATATATATATATATATATATTTGTGTAATAAATGTATGTAGTAAGTACATACTGGTAACCTTTTTCACTCAAATCCTAATGAAACACCACAATTAGAATACGGTGGTTGCTGTTGAACCACATGTTGTATAAATAGTCGGAACACAGCCACACCACCGAGACGAGGGAACACTCCCACCACCGATCGTCTCGTGTGAAGCAAGCGTATAAATGAAAGAAAATACTTGCAGTGTGTTTAATATGTTACAGTATATTATAAATAAATAAATAAATAAACAAGTAAATCGGTAAATCCATTTCAAGTAAATGGAAAAATTTTACTCGATACCGACATTAGTTCCAGTTATCGGTAAATAGCAGACGCTTCAGTGATGTCACTAGTGTTTACACTACACCAGCGGGTATAATTTGATGACATTACTTGAAGTGAATTGGCCTTATTTTAAAAAATCAAGGATGGTTGGTAAAGGACTACTGAGTCAGTGGGTAAGTGTCACATTTGGGGTACTGGTCTTATACAGCAAATAGAGCTCAAAAGCTACTTTTTAAATGGAAATTTGCGGGGGGCGTCTTATGCACCCCGCCGCCTTATAGGCCGTGATATACGGTACATGAAATATATATATATATATATATATATATATATATATATATATATATATATATATATATATATATATATATATATATATATATATATATATATATATATATATATATATATATATATATATATATATATATATATATCATGTAAATCCACAATGAAAACGTGGATAAGATAAATCTTGATAAAATCACACGGGAAGATGGAAACAACGGAGTACCTTAGCTTTCGTCTTTATTCCAGACATCTTCTGACCTGACTTGTCTAGTCACGTCACCTCCCTTCTCTTAAGCTCCTCTACGTGTGTGTTGGTGTGGGGATTAGTGGATGTCATCATTCTGACCTGGCCTCATGTTTTTAGGTCACCCTGTATACTTAAGCCTCTCTCTGTCCATGTAATCCAGTTGCCTCTGAAGATGTCTTGAATAAAGACGAAAGCTAAGGTACTCCGTTGTTTCCATCTTCCCGTGTGATTTTATCAATATATGTTTATATATATATATATATATACATGTTATATATATATATATATATATATATATATATATATATATATATATATATATATATACATATACACACATACATGCTATTACATACATACATACATACATATATATATATATATATATATATATATATATATATATATATATATATATATATATATATATATATATACATATACATATACATATACATACAGATTGTACCTCTCTAGTCCGGCAACCTCGGGACCTGACCGGTGCCGGACCATGGAAATTGCCGGACCATGGAATTTCATCCTTTTCCTGGTTAGATAGTGACTTGTGCTTATGCTTGGAAGCACTAGCACCACTTTCTCTGCATCATGGTCTCTTTGAAGACATATTGAAGGGTTAAATGTCGTATAGTAGCTTCTCAAATTTTGTGAGTTTTTAATTCTTAACGTATTTTATTGGAACACAAAAAAAATAAATCAATAAAAATTTTGACGGCGGAAACTTGAATTTCGACGGGTTTGAACGGCCCGCCAACGTGCAGACGATGTGCATAATCGTGTAAACAGCGTCATTTCTCTTATGTACAAAAGATTCATTATTGTTTATTACTGAATGTCTTTTTTATTGAATTAATGTTTATGTGTGCAAAATGAGCAATACAATTCATTAATAGTACGTAGAATATTAGAACACACGAGGAAATGACACTGCATTGTTTTCGTTGATTACAAAACCAGTGACTGACTGGTTCTACATATAAAACTGAAGAAAATAAGACCTTGGTTGTAGCTGTAGTAAAATTAATATGGTTGTTTTAAGTAATATTATTTAATGTTAATAAATGGAACAATAGAAGTAGCTAACGATAATGGTAAAGAAAAAAGAGAGATCGCGTATGTAAGTGCGCATGCGCACACGTGAAAATATATCGTCATTACTTTACATAAGAATATAAAAGCAACACTTATTTTCTGTTCATATATATTTTAATGAATGTTTCTGAATTTGTTTTTATTGAATTAATGTTTGTGTGTGCAAAATTAACAATACAATTTATTAATAATACGTGGAATATTAGAGGAGACGAGACGGCTGCCGGCATTGTTTATGTTAAAGCTTACAAAACCAGTGACTGATTGGTTCTACATATAAAACTGAAGAAAATAAGACCCTGATTTTAGCTGTAGTAAAATTAATGTAAAAAAATTAATATGGTTGTTTGAAGTACCTGTAATGTTATTTAATGTTAATAAATGGAACAATATAAGTAGCTAACCATTAATGGTAAAAAAAAAAGTGAGACTGCGCGTATGTAAGTGCGCACATGTGAAAACATATCGTCATTACTCTACATAAGAATATGAAAGCAACACTTATTTACTGCTTTATCTGTGTTATATATATATATATATATATATATATATATATATATATATATATATATATATATATATATATATATATATATATATATATATATATATATATATATATATATATATATATATATATACAGTCTACGTTGAAGGTTAAGGCACAAATTGGGCTGTGACTTTACTTTTAGCACAAATCGTTTTACCCTCAAGATAGGGATAAATTTTGATCAGAAATATTTAGTCACAATTCTAATGGCATCTGGAACCCTTAGGCGACAGCTGTCACATAGCAGCAACCGCTCAGTCTTTGTTTAGGTTGCGTGGGTGGAGGTTATTGTACCCATGTGAGCGCCACGTGCCGTGATTTTACGCCTGATTACAGTGCTTTATCGTGTGATTTCTGGGTCTTTAAGATGTCTAGGAGAGTTACTAAGCGTGAGGATATTGCACAGGTGATTGGTTTATACAAGGCTAATCATAAAGTTACTGAAATAGTTGAATTAACCGGTGTGTGCCGCCGGTCAGTGTACCGATTCATCTCGGAGTTTGAGGCAAACAGCCAGGAAGAGTTGCCTACCCCTAAACCCAAGTCTGGGCGACCACGGCTTACGTCTCCTAGAACCAGGAAGGTGATTGCTAGGCAAGTTAATGCTAATCCTAAGCTCACGGCCCGGGAATTAAAGCAAGCTAACCCCGGACTCCTTGGTCACGTCTCCTTAAGGTCGGTGCAGCAGCTTCTTCATGACGATCTCGGTTATCGCGCCTACTGCCCACGCCGTAAGCCCCTGCTGACTGCTGCCCAGAAGAAGAAGAGGATCACTTTTGCGAAGAAGTAGTGTCTGGTCCCTTCAGGATTGGAGGAACGTCCTGTGGAGTGATGAAGCCACGTTTACAGTGAGTGGTTGTGGTCACGATAGGGTGTACCGCCGGCCAGACTCTGACCCGCTCGACCCCAGGTACACTGTCAAGACGGTCAAGCATCCTGATTCAGTGATGGTATGGGGTTGTTTCACTTATTACGGTGTTGGTGAGTTGGTTGTGCTTGAAAAAAACATTAAAGTTAACCAGGGTGTGTACCTCGAGCTTCTCTGTGACGTTCTGCCTGACTCGTTTGAGAAAACACGCGCCGTCGTGTTCATGCAGGACAGTGCTCCCTGCCACACAGCCAAGTCGGTTACTCAGTGGTTGGAGGATTGCCAGGTTTCATATTTTAAGGACTGGCCTGGCAATTCCCCCGACATCAACCCTATTGAGAACCTTTGGGGGCTCATGAAACGTCGCCTACGTGACCTCGACACCTCGTCCGTCCCCAAGCTCACCACAGCAATTAAGCAACTGTGGGCCAATTTCACCCCACAGCACCTGCAAAACCTTGCAGACAGTGTTCCACAATGACTGAAAGAGGTGCTGAAGGGGAAGGGAAACACAACAAAATACTAAGAGGGGTGGGTGAGTGTTATTTTCATTTTTTTATTGCCTTACCATGATTTTTTTATTTTTTCCCCACGGTGTGCCTTAACCTTCCGCGTAGACTGTATATACAGTATGCAGTAGTAAAGTATGATATATTTTAATAATGATGACCATGAGATACGAGTACAGTGAAAGTATAATAACCAGTTAATAAGGAAGTTGGATACAGTGTGACTGAGCACCTTAACAGTAGTCAGCTGAATGCACAAATTACGTATTTTCGAATTATACATGGAGACTACATTAACTGGAAACGTTTCGGTATAGAAAATGCGTGTGTCATTTAAAAATTTTTTTTTTTTAATCTATATCTGAGGCGGTCGTAAGTCCCGACGGTCGTAAGTCGGGGTCTAGGTGTGTGTGTGTGTATATATATATATATATATATATATATATATATATATATATATATATATATATATATATATATATATATATATATATATATATATATATATATATATATATGTTGATAACACAAGGAAAGAAGAAAACACGAAGTTCCCAAGCGCTTTCGTGTAATTCACATCTTCAGGGGTGAGTACAGACTAGAGAGAGAAATACAAATCAAGGTGTATATATACAGAGGAGGGTGAGACCAGGTCCACAATGGTCAGGTATTAGGTAATGACCCTACTAATCTTTAAATAGCACACAACGGTTGGTGGTCAGGTCAGATGGTCAAGTGACCCGGCCTTCTCACCTGATCACAAATCTTCTTAATTACAAAATTGTCCAGCTTGTACATGCCGTTACTCAAATTCATGTTGAATGCTTCGGTATGTTTAATAAGACTAGATTCTATGATGTTCCTACTATCAATTGAATTACATGGTAATATTGAGGAGGCATTATCCCAGTCAATGCAATGCTTGTTATCCCTCAAATGAACAAACAGAGCATTGGATTCCTGGCCTGTCCTAACACTGTATTTGTGTTGTTTAATTCTAGTTGCAAGATCTTTACCTGTCTGGCCTAAGTAAAACATATTACATTCCTTGCAAGGAACTTTATAAATGCAACCAATTGTGTTGTTTTATTATTTTTTTTTTATTGCAGTGTGTCCTGCTGGTTGGAAGCCTGGAGACAAAGCCATTGACCCACATAAGAAAAAAGTGGATGTTCCCAAGAAGTAATAATGACCATATCCAAGACACAACAGTCACAGAAGCTCTAGTACAGTACTACATCTCTTTACTATTACCCAGGATCTTGTTAGGGATTTTTTCCTGTGTGCCATGATTTAGTTGGGCTGGTGGTTCTCGAGTATATGTGTGACGTATAAATTGTAAGAACAGATTCGTCTCTTCGCTTTGGTTACTAGTAGGTGTAGGAGGGTGGGGGGGGGGGGCACTTGGTGGTTGTATTATGCTTGGTATAGATATAGAGTAGTAGTCATCTGTACTTGTGTGGTATGATAGTATTTTACACTTACAACACACTTATGCATTTCACAACACCAGTTTGCACCACACAAGACCAGTAGAGTATACACTTCACAACACCAGTTTGCACCACAAGACGAGTACAATATATACACTTCACAACACTAGTTTGCACCAAACACGACCAGTACAGTATACATTTTGCAACACCAGTTTACACCACCATACAAGACAAATATATATTTCACAGCACCAGTTTACACCACCCAAGATCAGTATATTATACAGCCATTCCTCGACTTAGACCTACTCGACTTACAACCACCCAGACATACGACCGCCCCAGTCGTACCAAAATTGTTTCAAATTACGTATTTTCGAGTCCCGACATAAGTGATTGCGCTGTGTACTGACATAATTTTTGTTTGTAATTCCCTTTAAAATGGCTGGCATGCTTAAAAGTGAGAGTTTTGTGGTGCAGAGAAGAAAAAGAGACACCCATTTTAGATTTTCTATGTATTAACTTCGCATTTTTGACTTACGACCAATTCGACTTACGACCTGGATTTGGGTCCCTAACCCCGTCGTAAGTCGAGGAGTGGCTGTACTGTACCTCTCATACCAGTTTACACCCCATTACAAAAGTTTTTACCTAGACACCAGTTTTCACATCACAATAGCACTATTTTACACCTTGCAATACAAGTTCTCTTCTCAACAATAGTTTTCAATTTACAATACTGTTTTACACTTCACAACACTAGTTTGCATTCCTTAATTTGTATGTGCACCTCTCAATATTAGCACGATATTGTTTTACATCACAACACATTTTCTTCCTCTCATTAATGGTTTACATAACACTAGATTACACCATATAACATTCACATATAACAACCAACACAAATTTACTCCACTTAGTTTACAATACAGTACTCAACACAAATTTACTCCATCTACTTAACAGTACTCAACACAAATTTACTCCTATCTACTTAACAATACTCAACACAAATTTACTCTCTCTACTTAACAGTACTCAACACAAATTTACTCCATCTACTTAACAGCACTCAACATAAATTTACTCCACTTAGTTGACAGTACTCAACACAAATTTACTCCACAGTACTCAACATAAATTTTCTCTATCTAGTTAACAGTTCTCAACATAAATTTTCTCCATCTACTCCACTTAGTTGACAGTACTCAACACAAATTTACTCCACAGTACTCAACATAAATTTACTCTATCTAGTTAACAGTTCTCAACATAAATTTACTCCATCTACAGAACAGTACTCAACATAAATTTTTGCCACTTTGTTTACAATGCTCAACATAATTTTACTCCACTTAGTTTACTCCACTTAGCAGTATTCCACACAACACCACACATGTAGCGGGGCCAAAGCTTTACATGAAAGGATTGTGTGCATTGCATTGAGTTGATCTTTGTCCATATTTAAGATAAAAAAGAACAATTAACAATAGAAGAATATAAAAGTCATGTTTCATTCGATTAAAAATTATATGTGACATGAAATTCAGTTGACAATTGCTTGTTTTTTCTGGGAAGATCAGTTTATATATTTCTTTAACCCTTAAGCAGCAGCCAACATCAGTAGAAGTTAGTTATAATGATGGCAGCCAACATAGTGAATGTTAGCTGTAGGGTTAGCAACCATCATCAGTGGAATTTATGGTGTTGGTGGCCATCATCAGTGGAAGTTGTGGTGTTGGTATCCATCATCAGTGAAAGTTGTGGGATTGGTGGCCATCATCAGTGAAAGTTGTGGGGTTGGTGGCCATCATCAGAGGAAGTTAGTTGTAGGGACAGTGGCCATCATCAGAGGAAGTTGGTTGTAGGAACAGTGGCCATCATCAGAGGAAGTTAGTTGTAGGGACAGTGGCCATCATCAGAGGAAGTTATTTGAAGGGACAGTGGCCATCATCAATAGAAGTTGTAGGGTTGGCATCCATCAGAGGAAGTTAGTTGTAGGGACAGTGGCCATCATCAGTGGAAGTTAGCTGTAGGGATGGCAGCCAACATCAGTGGATGTTAGCTGTAGGGATGGCAGCCAACATGAGTAGCTGTTTCATCTTTCATTCCATTTTTTCCCATCTGGTGTGGAGGGAGGAATCCTTAGCTGTCAGTATAAGGTTAAGGTAAAAAAAAAAATTAATATCAAAAGAATGTGATAGGTCAAATTATATTCCTTTGAAAATTTTATGTGTTAAAGTAAAATAATGTTGAAAATTGCTTGTTTTTCTCCAGGAAAATCACATTTTTATTCCTTTAAGTGGAAGATGGAACTACTCATATACTCTGCAGTTCTGAAACAATTATCTCAACTAATCCCATCACTACTGGATGTTACTTTTATTATTTTATTTATCTAATACCAGATGATTTTATTCAGCACAGAGAGATCTTTTGTACTCAAGGAGTTAATAAACCATCCCCAATATTGATGTTGTAGAATTGTCAGTGTCATGTCAGTATTTGAATATTTTATACAGATGTAGTACATAAAAGGTATTGCAAGTAACCCAGATTCCAAATTAGTCTGTTGCCTTTTACTTGGCTTTTGACATCATCATTTATGATTGGGTCTTTGCTTTTCACTGACACCTTCATTCATGACTAGATCTTGGCTATTCATTCTGTTTACAAAGTTGATTTCTAAGATCAGTCATTTTCCAATGTTAAGCAGAATTCATTACAGAACAATATACAGTACTGTATTCTCTCACTCTTTCGCAATGTGAAATAAGTCAAAAGAAGTACTTAACCACACTTAACAATACAGTGGTCCCTCGGTTAACGAACACAATTCGTTCCACAGAGTCGTTCGTTAACCGAAAATTTCGTTAACCGAATCCATTATTTCAATGGGTAATTGGTTCCAGCTCACAGAAAAGTACATAAAAAGTAAAGCCAAAAATGCATAAAGTCAGAAACATTCCTAAAATTCCCCGAAATCACCCTTAAATCAATATATATATATATATATATATATATATATATATATATATATATATATATATATATATATATATATATATATATATATATATATATATATATATATATATATATATATATATATATATATATATATATATATATATATATACTCACACACACACACACTCTTAAATCACTACTGTAATGTGATAAAGGTGATTAATTTTTATCTCTTGTGCAAAATATATGATGTTTATATTCAAATTATTAGCTGTCTTGCAAGGATTCCAGCAATGCAAATTATATTCTCCTAACTTTAGTCTGAGATATTATATAAGATAAAAACTGTAAGCCTAAGACCCTGGCTGGGGGAGAGGGAGGGAGGGAGCGAACGAGCAGGAAGTGAGGTGATATGTTTGACAGTTGGAGCCGAAGGTCTCATGTGTGTTTATTTAACAGTCCTTAAGTGACTAAGCTTCTCTCATTTTAAAATGTCAGTGAAATGACCTGGGAGAATATAATTTACATTGCTGGAATTCTTGTATGATAGTGATTAATTTGAATATAAGCAAGCTATAATTTGCACTAGACATAGCAATTTTAGTGCCGTAATCATTTAGTACATGTACAGTACAGGTTTGCACTTAGGTCATTTATTTCTTTTACGTTTCTTTTAATATGGTGTGTGCATGTAAATGAATGAAAATAAATGAAAAATTTATGTAAATCTACCCAAAAATACAGTTGAAAAACTTTACATTATAAAATGTACTACAGTACACTAATGTACTAAAATTTTTATCTCTTGTGCAAGATATATGACGTTTATATTCAAATTATTTACTGTCTTGCAAGGATTCCAGCAATGCAAATTATATTCTCCTAACTTTAGTCTGAGATATTATGTAAGATAAAAACTTAAAGCCTACTGTATAACCACCAAAGCCTTGCTGGGAGGGGGAGGGGGGGGGCTGACATGTTTGACAGTTGATGTCAAGGTCCAGTGAAGTATTTATTTGTTTATTTATGTTCTTTAGATTGAGTTTTTGTTTATTGCTTATAAAATGTCATAGAAGTGACCAGGGAGAATATAATTAACATTGCTGGAATTCTTATATGATGTTGATTAATTTGAATGTAAACATGCGATAGTTTGCACTAGACAAAAATTTTAGTAATCATTTTGTACATTATTTTGATTCCATGTACAGTACAGCTTTGCCCTTAGGATGGTGTGTGCATGTAAATGAGTTTCAATAAATGAATAAAGTTACATATATCGAACCAAAAATAATGCAGGTAGTTGAAAAACTTTATGTAGACAGAGCTTCGATGGCTAAACCTTAGAATGACCAATAATTTTAATATAAAAAATGCACAAATATTAAAGAGCACAATTTTCTTGATATTTACTCCACTGGAAATGAATGTAAACTTAGAACCGATTACTAAATTGGCAGATTAGCCCATCGGTTGATCAGCTGATGCTCACAACAAAACGTGTTTGTTGTAAGGATTTCGTTAATCGAAATTTTGTTCGTTAACCGAATTGAAGATCCTTATGGGAGGTAATTCGTTAACTGAAATTTTGTTAATCGAACCGTTCGTTAACCGGGGGACCACTGTATAAAGAAAATCTTAATTTCTTCTTGGACATTGCTCAACTAATGTACCATTATTCTTAATGATATGCAATGACTATAGTTTGTGCATCATCTGCTGTGATAAATTGCATTTATACCAGTTTTAACACTGGGACCATATTTTCAAATAAATTTTTGCATTGTACATATTTGTTTAATCTATCAACCAACAAGGGGTAGCCAAAAGTCTTTGTAATACAGTAAACCTTCAACATTCGTGTGTTTAACTTTCATGGATTTGATTATTCACAGGTACAACCATTTTATACCTGCTCATCATTCACCGTCATGAGGTTTGGTTATTCACAGTTTGTGGTCCTGTAGTTCCATGGGATGCTTGTGTTTTTTGTTTACTGTACTCAATCGTACTACATGGGACGCTTGTATTTTGTGTTTACTGTACAAGACTGTACCATGCGGGATGCCGCACCTCACAGCACGTTCTCTCCGTCTCAAGCCTCCATCACAGTAACACCTGCAGCTCGGCTATTCTTTATTCACTCGGTTGTTATTGCTCTTTTGGGTGACTTTGTCCTTAGTGATGCCTCCTAAGCATACAATGAGTGGATCAAGTGCAAAGAGGCAGAAGAAAGTAGTGACTTTAAGTAAAAAAGAGGAGTTGCTTGATTACTTTGCTAGGGGTGATCGTGCGGCAGTTGTGGGTCACCATTGTGGTGTCAATGGGTCAACTATGTGCTCAATCAGGAAAAATGATGCAAATATTCATGCAAGTGTCTGCAAGTGCCCCCATAAGTGCTAAAGTGACTTTTCAAACCTATGACACTAATACGGAAAAGATGGAGC